ATTTACTTTGTAGACACATAAATATCTCAAATCAAAGTAAATAAGATAAATAAATAATATAAGCATCTTTAGAAGAGAATTAATAATAGATTTAAACAAAAATTACCTCAAATTATCAAAAATTGATATTTGGAGAGGATTAGTTGTGAATATGGGTCGAAATCAAATCCTAAGGTACAAATTTATATACCAACAAAGACTTTGGGATTTTTTTTTGTCAATAAAAAAAAACAATTAGAAAGAAAATTTATAGAGAGATTTTTAAGAATTGGTTTTATGTCACTTTGATTAATATTAAGGTTTTAAGAGATTTTCAAAGTTAGTGATATACTTAATGAATTTAGATTTTAAGAAATAAAAATAAATTTACAAATTTCAAGATTTTATGAATTTCATAATATGTATATAGATGAAAATTTGGCAATATATTCTTATGCTTGTTTTAAACATATATAAAAAATTTGAGGTCAATCAAGTAGTTAGATTGAAGAGTATGAAAGTTTTTGTGGATTATGGTCTCAAATAATTGAATTTTAGGATTACTCAGGGATTTTGCAAATTGATAATATTTACTAGTTTAATTGAAGTAAAAATTGGAAAGAAAATTTTTGACTTAAATATCTATACACAATCCAATTTTTGGAGCAATTGAATGGTTCAAGAAGGAGAAATCTTTGTTGAAAGACCAACATTCAAGTTGGAGAAAGAATGCAGTCCACAATGAAGTGGTTTTGGAAGTTTTTTTTGTAATTGGTAACTCTAATTCTTCTCAAATTTTGTGTGCTTATCAATTACTTTTGGATTTAAGTCTAGATGAAATTTTAATCAAGATCTATGATTGAATTAATATTTATTAAGATTTCAAATAGCTATAACAATTAATTAAGATTTAATTGAGATTTTCTTAGGATTTTTTAAGAATTAATTAGGATTGATTTAGGACTTAGGATTTTATTGAGATTTTATTAGAATTGATCTAAGATTTAAGATTTAGTTAGGATTTAGGATTTCATTAGGATTTCATTAGGATTTGACTTAAGATTTGATTGAGATTCATTAAGATTTTATTTAGAATTTGATCTAAAATTTGGTTAAAATTCATTAAAGTTTTAATTAGAATTTTAATTAGGATTTAAATAGGATTTTATCTAAATTTCAATTAAGATGAAATTAGGATTTAATTAGAATTTATTTAGGATTTATTTTTCATTTCTATTTTAAATATTTATTTAGGATTCTTTATTATTTCTTTAGAATTTTCTATTTGTAGTATTTATTTAAGATTATTATTATTTTTAAGATTTTATTTTTATATTTCTTTAAGACCTTTTTATTATATTTTTTTGAGATTAATTTATGTTTTTTTGTATTTTTTTGTAATTTCTTTTAAATTTACTTGAATTATTTAAAGTTTCATTAGGATTATTAAGAATTACTTAAATTTTATTTAAGACTCTATTAAACTCAATAAGATTGTTGTTACATTTTTACATATCTTTGACAACTAGGTATATGATATATTCTCAAGGAAGAATATACATAATACAACACCGTGGCATTTTTTGCACATCTAGGAGGACATTAAATTAAGAAATAGCCTCAACTAACAAACAAGATGCAATGTCTTTTGTATCTATGATAGAATTGGTCAAAAGATACAATGGCTTTATAGATTTGAATGAATCAAAGCTTTGTCTTTTCGCCTTTAGATATTCACTTGGAGAGTCTTCTAGACTAGCTAACTCAACTTCAAGTCCTTGTTCCAAATTCTTCTATTATCTTGCTTGAAACAATGTCCATTTGACTATAATGTCTTTTGAATTATGTGACTTTCATGGACTTGTATTGCCACTATGATATATGCCTTCATTTATATTTTCATCCCTTTGATCCTTATTTTAAATATCAATCAAAACTTATTACAAAATCCTACTTGTTGTCAGTAATAATGCCTCACTAACTCTCAACAGTTATTTTATATCAAATATAGCTATTAAGATATCTTTACTTTTGGCAAGTCTTCTTCATGCTGTGCTTGTAAATCAATAGCTTTAGCGGTATTTTGTAGGAGCTTTGGATGCAACTTGGGCCATCAATTGGTCCAATATACAAGAGCACATCAAAAAGTTGATTTTTTTAAGTAAAAGAGATTGGAGTGAAAGCAAGGCGAATGAAGAGGGTTTAGAATGGTGGAATGTAAATAAGAATAGTTGTATGGTAAATAAGTGTAGTGAAGATTGTTGTAAAGGAGCTGGGAGAGATGGCACCGCCAAGAATCTTTGATGCAAGGCATGGTCTGAGTTTTGATAGAATTAAAAGAAGTGAGATTTTTCCAATTCTCAAAAAATCAAAAAGGAGTTTGGTAAAATCTCTGCAACTTGCAGTTTAGATTCGAGCTGACAACTAAACAAAAAATGTTGGTGATACCTTATTACCAACAAGGGTATATTTGCTATTATTATAAATCTGAGGGAAATATTTGCTATTATCAAGAATACATGAATATTTTTGATATTTCAATATATTTGAGGAATATACATTATTTTTTTCTCAAAAATGACCCTTAGATTTGTTTTTCCCATTATTGGATCTGCAATCAGTACTGTGTTCTGTGTTCTAGTGGTGTTGTGAACATAACCTTTTGATCTAGCCAAATTAATAATTTGAACCTTGTTTATATTTGAGTGTGTGTATTTACAAATTAATCATATTTGAAAGAACCAAACTCACAATTTGGTTATCAAACTAGTATAAATAGAGCAACTGCCTCTTTTTCGTTTTTCTTTTTCTCATGTGGCAATTTGCAATAAATTAATTTATCAAATATATCAAATTTGAGTGTAAAAGTTGTATATTTATTGCTCAAACTTGTGATAACTATGTCCTGAAAATTGCAATACTGTGCATATTAGATAAATAAGCTCGGGTTCAGTTTTTATTCAGGACTATATATTTCACATTAAACAAACATCCTCCAGTATTTTTCATTTAATTTAAAAATTATTTTGAAAACATTTTGCTTTTAATTTAGATCAGGAACGATGTTTAATGATCATTTCCTATGAAGCAGATTTTTAATAAATACTTGTGAGATTTGAATTTTTTTGCAATACTAAATGTACTTCAAAAAATGTTTGTAGATATATATACATATCCAAACACTATATAACAAACATTTTACATAGTTTTGATGCATAAATTTATGTAATTAAAACACTATCTTTGACATAGTTAAATGTCGATTTTCAAATATAAAGATATTGAATAAGACAAATTCAATATGGTTTTTCAGGTGAACTCATCTTCCTAACCATAATATGTAGGAAATTCAAATTCAAATTATAAAACAAGCATATGTTATACCATAATCAAAGTTGACTCAGAACAAAAGTTTTTATAGCTGATATCATTATCATAATTAGCTCGTATAATTTTATTCTGCAAATTATATCAATCTCCCATAGAAGTGATACTTGTGGTAGATATAGAATGATTATGTGTAATAAAATGTTGCAATATTAAGTATTTAAGCTCATTGAAATAATTTTTTAAATTCGTTATTATATTCACTATCTTTATTTTAAAATAAAAAGAAACTATTTTCATTACATGAATTAGATAACATAAATACATAAATAACCATCGTTGTATGTACAAAGGGATACCTATACACATTAAAATACTTCTTATTGTTTGTATCATCATCAAATAACGTTTTTTTTTTGTTTTTTAATTATTTACATACTTGTTTGATTTTTTCTTGTTCTTGACTTATTTTGCATGGAATGAAAGTGAACAACATTCCTTTATCAATAAATATGGAAGACTTTAAATGCTAGATTGTGAATTTAGCACTGATTCTGAAGCCCTTTACAAAGAACATGTATAAACATTATTTATTTATTTATTTATTCTTATTCTTTTTTTCATGTATTGCTGAATGCTCATGGATTGGTGAATTGTGACGAGGGTTTCTTACTTTGCTATCCACATACATAAATAATTTATGAAGAGAATTTAATTATTGAGTTCAGCAAAAACCTTACTCACACTAGCACAACATGATGAGAAAAGATAGCTTACACAAAGGCTTGAAGTTCAGTGCTAGGCTTTTTTAATACGAGTTTAAAGAACACATCACAAACTTCATTTCAGAACAATCTTCAGACAAATTATTTTTAATAGACCAAATAATATCTTAATAAAAAAAAAAACAAAACAAAAGAAAAAAGAAAAAAAAAAAATGCATGATTATTTTAAGGAAACGTACAATTTTTCAAAAATATGTCACAAATCAAAACTATGAGATTCATGTGGTTGAATTATACATACATTGCATTTTATATTTATTCCTTAAAAAATTATACAAATGTGATTTTTTAAAATATATTTCTGAATTTTAGATGGCACCACCAGCAAGTAAATTGATAAAAATTTGTATGAGTGATTCTAAATTGCATATTTGCATTATATATTGAAGGACCTCCTATACCAGTGTGTGTGTATATATATAAATATATATGATTCTTTCCATGATTAGAACCATGCAGAAAACAAAACCAACCAACTCTACAAATGAAACTCATCATGTTTAACACACACGCTGCTTTAAAAACTAACTACACAACCAAGTGAATTAAACTAAATCACATAAATTATTAGTAATTAATCAAGAAGAGAAGAGGGTGTCACCCACTCACATGCACACTCAGAGAAGCAATTCCATCACGTGTACTTCTCTTTATTTTTTGCTTTTTTTTTTTACTTTTTTCTTTTCACTTCGTATAGGAAGGGCAGCTCGAAAAACTCTGGCAGCCCGCGCCTCCCCCAAAATCCATGTCAACAGAAGATGTTTTGTTCACCAGCTGCCCTCTTCACAACGGGCTGAATGGGCAGTACCCGCCTGCCCCTTAAAATGATTGTCAATACCAAAGTTACTGGAACCAAGATTATAATGGACTTGCAGCGGAAACAAGCGCATTCTTAATTCCAATATTTGTATTATTTTTGGCGCCTGGTGAAGGAGCCAGGGATGCTAATTTGCTTGAAGACTGAGCGCAGGACTCTATGGTGAGATCTGCGTTCAATGAGTGTGAGATGACGATGCGGTGACTTTCAAAGAGGGGAGATTTTGAGATACATGATTTTTTTTCGTGGGAGTTGAAGTGTGAAGGAGGTTGTTTTTCAGCTAGGTGAGAGTTTGCTTCGAACGCTTCAGGTTTGAAGGAGTTGCTGTTGTGTTAGAGCTGTTTGTTTTGGTGGAGTGGATCCGATGTGTAGTTGCAGCATGAGATTGTGAGTTTTTGTGAACGTTGGGTGGAATTCGTAGCTGAGATAATAGGTCTGTTGTTAGCGGCTTGTCTTGTAAGGTGTGATTGAGTGATGTGTATGAGAGGATGTGAATTTCAACGTTAATGTAGAGTATTTCGTTCAAGAGACTTTTGAGGTATAGTAGCCATTGATGAAATGGTGGTCCTAATTGATTTTGTTTGATAGAGAACGGGGTGAAATGTGGTGGTGTAGCATTCGTGTTACAATTAGCTTCAAGTCATGACAAGAGCGTTTGCTTGAGCCTTCTGTAACTTAGATATCGTTTGCTGATAATTTTCTTCCCATTTTTAAAGTATTTTCTCGAGTCCTCACGATGTTCGCTTCGATTTTGTCTATAAGTTCGATGTTCATGTGAAGTCTCCATTACTGAAGTTTCTAGCAAGGGGAGTTCTTCTCTGCAATGCACAATTATCGAGGAGGGAGGCGGTGTGGAATTGAATTCCATTCGAATATTGTATTGTCCAATCTCGACGATGTTAATAGGAAGAAGGTCTTCATGAAGAACGTTATCTGGTTTCGGCTTTGAGCTTAAGTTTATTTTCGATGAAGCGGGGAAATAGACCTCGGTACAAGAAAGTACGTAAAGGAATTGCTGATCGCAGTACACAAGTTTCAAGTTTCGACAAATGCTCTCAAACTAAGCTCGATGTTGTCATCATTTGTTTTTGTCATTGATTTTGGTAATTTAAAGAAAGAACTCATACTACTTGATATTACCTGATACTTCATGCATGGTCTGAGATGGTGGGGTCATAGTTTACTAATAACAGTTGATCGGCAGAATTGAATGCATTCAATTTGTTGGAGGTTGAGGTGGCTTGAGAATATATCGTGACAAGATGAATCCTTGAGCGGGCTTTACAAGCTATGTAGTGTTTAGTTAAAACCAGTGAACGATTAATAAACTTTACGGGGAGTGGCCAGACAATAACGGCTGTGGTGCTGTGAGTAAGTTGCCAAGGTCTGCCATTGCATCGAGGTTTATGAATGGTGGTGACTCACTAAAGAAGCGGTTGAACACGAAGTTGCAGCGAACTGTCACTGCAGAGGTTACAAGATCATCAGTGGTGGCAATTCACAACATATCTTGCTATTGGGAAAATAATGGCAGCAATGAGAGTTTGGATCTGGTGGTACTTCGCATTAGGAGCGTTGCTCCAGAATCATACAAGTGTGGCTGTGACTGTCTCGTATGATCAAAGGGCTTTGAAATTGGACGGGAATCGCCGCATGCTTGTGTCAGGATCCATTCATTATCCACGGAGCACTCCAACGGTGAGTGCGTGTCCTAAGTAACAGTGCATTTGATAGTGTAATACCATGATGCAATGCAGCTGTCAAAAATGGCATCTCAGAACGTAGTAAGTGTGTTCGAAGTGCCCTGTCATATAATCCACTTTGTATCACTTCTGGCCACTGGTTTTTGGGAACAATTTACTTAAGGTTTGTATTTATTTGTGGTCTAGAACTTGTATCGCCTACTTTGGTTCTGACATCCGAGGCAGGTTTTACTAGATTGCACCTAGGAATGAAAGCCTCCCATTAAACCCTCCCCAACATTGCCCGAACTAGATGATTTTTGGTGTACACGCAATCCATTTTGTCCAGCTAGCTCCTTTTCGGCACCAATAAACCATATCTAAAGTAAGGTTGTTGCAGATGTGGCCAGGTCTTATTGCCAAGGCCAAGAAAGGAGGACTTGACGTAATCCAAACGTATGTTTTCTGGAGTGGGCACGAGCCTACGCAAGGCGTGGTATTTAATCATACAACTTAACGATCCGCAGCGATATAAGTCTAATTGCAGGCTGCTTTAGAATTCTCAAACTATAGTCACTTGCGCAGCATGAGAAATCCCTGAAAACGTCGCATTCTTAGGTGCACTTGGAATCAACATAAGCAATCTTTCTTCTAATGATAGTAAGCGGAGGTCGGATGTAGATTTTGGTTGATGACAGGCAAATCTTGCTTGCAAACTCGCATTGTGGTGTTGAATCGGTTTGTCGTGTTGGTTGTTCAAGATTTTGGACACTGTTTTTGTTGTGCATAATTGTGCATTTCAGTATAACTTTGCCGGGAGATACGACTTGCCCAAGTTTTTGAGGCTTGTTCACGAAGCCGGCATGTATGTCAACCTACGAATCGGCCCGTATGTATGTGCGGAGTGGAATTTTGGGTAAGTAACTAACTACCTAAATATATAGGAATTGTCAGTCATTGAGAATGTGCGGTCATTTTTGCTGCATTTGATCTGATCGAAAGGACAAACTTGCGAATGAGATGTTCGTCACTTCAAGTTCTAGGATAAGGTTTCCATTTGCAATTTGATTATAGTAGTGATGGAGACCTTAGAGAGAATTTTTGATATTTTGATATTTTGTTTTCTTCTATGTGCTTGTGATGGCAAAATTTTGATATTGGCAGGGGCTTTCCCGGTTGGTTGCGTTTTTTGCCTGGAATTGAGTTCCGTACAGATAACGAATCCTTCAAGGTACATTTAAGTCATTCTTTCACTTCTTCCTTGATATCTGTGTATTCTCGAAGTTGTTGAAGGCTATTAAAATGTTTGTGATGCATTCACTTAAGTAATTAGGTGCGCTCTTTTGATGGGGGTTGTCGTATCTGAACCCCTGCGGGTGGGGCTACCTAATTCTCTCTTTCTTTCTCAACTGAGGGAATTCACTACATTATGATTTGCATGACAGAATGAGACTCAGAGATTCGTGAATTATCTGGTGGAGATGTTGAAGAGTGAAAACCTTTTTGCATGGCAAGACGGCCCAATCATTTTAGCACAGGCATGACCTATCAAATACTACTGTATTTTTCAAGGGCGCATATTATGGTTGAAATAAGAGTTTACTAGAAGCAACGTTCGTTATTCACAATCTGAATGTTCAGTTAATATTCAGCTGGTGATTTGTGCGCAGATAGAAAATGAGTACGGCTCCATAGATGCCGTTTATGGTGAAGCAGGCCAAAAGTATCTGAATTGGATAGCCAATATGGCAGTGGCGACGAACATAAGCGTGCCCTGGATAATGTGCAATCAACCAGACGCACCTCCATCTGTTGTATGATAGTCTTTACTTGGAATCACTGTCTCACTCCTACTAATTTACTTCTATTCAATTTAACATCCCACGGTATTCGTTCAACAAGTAAAGCTAGTCATATCTACCAAATCTGTGCAAGTGAATGAAGCTCATCATAATGTTTATGGCTGTAACTAGAGAAAACCATGCATTGAAACTGGTTTCCTTACAACAAATCGCGAGGCCATGAGTAAATATGTTTAAACTCTAAGGATTGCTGTTGTTTTGTTTACCTAGAAGATATTTACAATAGCCATCTTAATGCCCAAATGGCATAGCCATTTTCCAGGCACTGTCAGATCTTCATCTAATCGGCAGGCTAGTCGTATTCTGTAAGACATGACAAAGCTTGTGAACTTGCTACCTGCGTAGATCGATACGTGCAATGGCTTTTACTGCGATGGATTTAGACCGAACTCGGAGGGGAAGCCTGCCCTTTGGACCGAGAATTGGACTGGGTGGTAAGTATTTATTTTCTTGAACATTTTTTATGGATGCGAATTTCAGGTGACTTTACTTACCAATGGTTCTCTCCTACATGTAGTTAGTGAAGGTATCGGAGACTAGAGAAAAGAATTCCTCACCTCAAGAAATCGATACTTGAGCTGTTATTTACGTGTAGGTATGTGCACAAGGTTGTGCAGGTTTCAGAGCTGGGGAGAAGGTGCACCCACTAGGCCAGTGCAGGACATTGCATTTGCTGTGGCTAGGTTCTTCCAAAAAGGGGGAAGTTTTATGCATTACTACATGGTATGAAAGCACTACTATAATACAACCATCATTTTCCGTAAGTGTGAAGGGTGCATGCTTCTGCTTATGGATTGAGATAGCAAGAACTCAGCAAGCCTGCTTTATTGGTTTTGGCAGTATCATGGAGGAACCAATTTTGAGCGCAGTGCAATGGAAGGAGTGACAACCAACTACGATTACGATGCACCTATTGATGAGTATGGTAAGGTCTTCATTCCATCCTTCTAGCTCTACGGTAGCATATGCGTTTCTGTTTCTGTTAAGCATCGAGGTGTACAATACATTCTGTGTAGGTTGAGAGAGAAATTTAAAATACTGATGCAACTATACATGACAAGCTGATCTGAACATGAGCTGTGTCTACAGGAGATGTTCGGCAGCCCAAGTGGGGGCATTTGAAAGATTTGCATGCCGCTTTGAAATTATGTGAGCTCTGTTTGGTGGGGGTCGACACTGTTCCCTCAGAAATATCTCTTGGACCTTACCAGGAGGTGATTTCTTGTCTCAACCTTAGGGCGACTGTTAGAAAGGACTTTTGCAGGTTTTGGGTTTAGTTTTGTGCTGAAGATCGTTATGCGTGTCTTGAGCTTTTGCTTTGTTATCTATTTAAAGTTATCTTATGCTGTCTGTAGAATCTAATGATTTGTTGATAGATGCACATGGCTACCTCATTTTTTTTAATACTCTAAAGTAACCCCTGAAACTTCTGCAACCCTTAAGCCTTAATGCACTCTGGATGGCCTCACGAGTTCTTTTTAAGAATGTTCATGAGTTACATTAACCTTCACTAACATTGAGGTGGAGGCGGGGCTGGAACTGCTTATAGGCTCATGTGTACAACAGCTCCACTGGTGCTTGTGCGGCCTTCTTGGCAAGTTGGGGCACGGATGACTCCACGGTTTTGTTCCAAGGCCAATCCTACGATCTGCCCGCATGGTCTGTCAGTATATTACCTGATTGTAAATCAGTTGTGTTTAACACTGCCAAGGTAAATAATTCCCACCTATTTTTTCCAATTTTGAATGAGATGATAGTTGCAAAATGGAAGCATCTGGTAACTGATGTTTGCAGGCAAATCAAATCTCATTTTGTTTATGAGGAGCAACATGCCCTCATACAAGAAGTAATCCCGTATTGTGTAATATTTTGTATGTGGGTCATCATATAGGTGGGAGTGCAAAGCATGACAATGACAATGCAAAGTGCTATCCCTGTAACTAACTGGGTATCTTATCGTGAGCCTTTGGAGCCCTGGGGAAGTACGTTTTCCACCAATGAGCTGGTAGAACAGATTGCCACGACCAAAGATACCACAGATTATTTGTGGTACACTACAAAGTAAGGAATCATGAGTTACGTTCTCTCAAATTGTTGACATTTCATATTTCAACATAAGATACCAAAGTTGAACTGTCATATATTAGGTATTCTACCCGAGTACATGTCCCTTGGTGCCATATTATCTTGAACATTGTTTGACATGGAGGCCTTGGAGTGTGCAGTGTGGAGGTTGCAGAGAGTGATGCACCTAATGGTTTAGCTCAAGCGACACTAGTGATGTCCTACCTTCGTGATGCTGCTCATATATTTGTGAACAAAGTATACGCTGGTACCCCTTTCTAACATTTCATGAATATCAAACTCACTGTGGAGATTTTCTCTCGCAATGATCTATCGTAATTGCATTTGTTGAAGGTGAACTCGACTCGGATGTTTGAATTTGTATTAAGAAATCTCTTACAGCTGTAAATAATACTGCACTTGCTATAGATACAGCTTCAAGGAAATTCAAGCGAAAAAGAATTGGTTAGTTTCAAATAAAAAAACGTTGGGCATGGGTAGTGAACATGGGTAGTGGTTGACAGGCACAAAGAGCGCCCATGGTTCCGAGGCTAGTCAGTCAATCAGCTTGCGACCTGGAATTAACAGCGTTAAGGTACTCTCTATGACAACAGGCTTACAGGTAAGAATCATCTTTTCAAAGTGCCGTGGCAATATGGACTATACTTAATGCTTCTATTACTGCCCAAGTAGTTGGTCATAACATCCATATCAGACAATAATTTTGCACTTAAGTTAAAGTTGTACCAATTGTCAAACACAAGGAACTATACAGACCTACATGTTTTTCTCTAGTTAGTAAAATTGACCTATGGGCTAGTGGGGCCATAAAGACCTTCGTAGCACTAGAATCAACCATCGTGATTTCAAGTACTATATGGCCATTCTTGTTGCTTCAATAGATCATAGAATTTCCTCAACCTCCGCATTATTTGCAAATAACCTGGTTTACATAACGTAATTAATCTTGAAATATTTTGTGTGGGTTAAATTACAGGGAACTGGACCATTTTTAGAGAAAGAGAAAGCAGGAATTCAATTTGGAATTCGTGTAGAGGGCTTGCCCTCCGGTGCCATAATAATGCAACGAAATACTTGGACCTACCAGGTTTGCTTCCTTACCGATAATCCTAGCGATCTTTTATGTCACTTGTAAGTGGAAAGGCATTGTAATCCTGTTACCCTCAACTTACTGAATGATCTAGCCCAGATCATTGATTTTTTTTGGATTCCAGCGTAATTTAAGTTGTTGAGTGCTGTGTTCAGGTAGGACTTCAAGGTGAGAATAATCGGCTGTTCGAAAGCAACGGATCATTGTCAGCCGTTTGGAGTACATCAACGGACGTGAGCAACCAAATGTCTTTGTCTTGGTTCAAGGTCCGAGATCCTCGAGAATAATGCCGCTACTATCATTTGTGCGTAATGTTGCTGTTTATTTTTGGAGCCTAGATTGATGAATCACATTCTTGGAAAGTAAATCATCCATATCCAAAATGCGTGCAGATGTTTTACTAGTCACGTTCGATGGAATCTGTGGACTCTTCTTGTTTATGCTTACAGAGTGTATTGTAATACCATTGAACTATTCTACATCAGTATTCAAATAGTATTCAAACAGTATTCAAATAGCTGATTCTGTGCAGACAACATTTGATATGCCAGAGAGGAACGGCACTGTTGCCCTAGATTTAAGCAGCATGGGTAAGGGGCAGGTGTGGGTGAATGGAATCAATCTAGGCCGGTATTGGTCATCTTGTATTGCACATACAGATGGATGCGTGGACAATTGCGACTACCGTGGTTCTCACAGCGAAAGCAAGTGTCTCACCAAGTGTGGTCAGCCATCACAGAGTTGGTATTAATTAGTCTCTCCATCCTCTTTCTCGACTTCAATTCACTTGAATATGTTGTTTCTGTGTGTGCAATTGCTAATTAGCTGAATTAGCTGAATGTGCAGGTATCATGTTCCACGGGAGTGGTTGCTTTCTAAACAAAACCTTTTAGTGCTGTTTGAAGAACAGGAAGGAAATCCAGAAGCCATCACCATTGCCCCTCGCATTCCTCAACATATTTGCTCTCGTATGTCTGAGTCGCATCCTTTTCCCATACCTCTATCATCCTCGACGAAAAGAGGCAGCCAAACCTCAACACCACCAATAGCACCATTAGCGCTCGAGTGTGCTGACGGACAACACATATCCCGGATAAGCTTCGCAAGTTACGGGACTCCATCTGGTGATTGTGGAGATTTCAAGCTAAGTTCATGCCATGCTAACTCCTCCAAAGATGTTCTGAGCAAGGTATGTCTCACAATCCATCTGGTTGTTAAACCAATGCATCCTCATTCACATTGACGAGTTTATTTAATGACTCGCTGGAAGATGTTAGTAATGGGAGAGGAAATAAATAAAAATCCGTATTTCCAGAGACGTTCTGTTTAACTCACATCTTGATAACTTTGACATGAAGGGTGACACTTCAAGAAGTAATACATCTGCTTGTGACAAGTTTTATTGTGTTCCCAGAAATTGGGTTAAATAAATTGAACCTGCACTAACACAAATATGTGCGTGTACCTCTGTATCTAAAGAAGCAAATTTACATGATTGATTCAGGCCTGCGTGGGGCGGCAAAAGTGTTTGGTACCTATTGTGAGCAGTATCTGTGGCGGCGATCCTTGCCCTGGCATGATCAAGAGTTTGGCAGCAACAGCGGAATGTCAATAGGCCTCGTTGGCTCTCAATAAAGTTCGCTGATTGATATAATAATTAGTGAGAGGTAATGTAGGTTGACAACCTTATGTTCCATTGGAACTAGCTCACCTCTCACCTTGGTTCTTTGATAAGACCATGTTCAAAAAATGCAACGCTATGTCATTTTAATTATCTTCTTTCCGAAATCCATTCGTACAATTCTTGTCTGATTACAGTCGATGTTCGAGAGAATTTGGAGGATAGAACGAAAACTCTACGTACTTTCATTTCGTTGCTTTTTCACATTACACATACCCATTTGCATGTTAAGTATAAAAGTTGTCTTCAATTTTTTCAATAGTATGTATATTTTAAATGATAGCATAAAAAATAATTAATTTAAATTTAATGTTAAGTTCATGTCAAATGATATTAATTTTTATATTAACCACTTGGTTGCTAATTGTATATTAAGTTTTTGATATTTCTTAATATGAAATCTTATAATTAAGAATAGCATTATAACTAATATAACTTCTCACTATATTAATTTCTATTAATTCTTTCACCAATTTAAATCTATATTCTTTTATTTTATATTAAAGAATAAATTAAATTAAAAAAAGAGAATTCAATACTTAACTTATTTTTTATTCATTTATCATTAATTCAAGAATAAAGATTTCTAAGATTTTCTACAAAAAAGAACAAAAATTTTGAGTATAGGAAAAAAAAATTATAATCCAATTATATATATTAATCAAAAAATTATAATCCAATTATATATATATATATATATATATATATATATATTAATCAATTTTTTTTTATTAAGGTTTATTTTCCACCATCAGTAAACTAGTTAAAAATATTACTTGGTTTCAAATCTTTAGTAAAATTTAAATAAATTGCATCTAATTCATCAAATAGATTGATAATTTGAATCCTTTTTATATAATTACAACTATAATTGACAAAATATTGGAGTGCAAATAAATTTATTGTTGTTTTAAACTAAACACGAAATAAAACTTTCAAAACATATCAACTACAAATCAAACTTTAAAATAAACCCATAAATTAATAAATTAAAAAAAACTTGTTGCTAATTACCATCATTTACATATCCATTAAATATTTGTATGATTATATTTGAATAGATAAATAATTAATAAAAAAATAACTATAATTCTTTTATAAATATTAAAAATATGTGTAAAAACTTTTAATCACACAACTAACTTTGATTATATCTAAATTTAAAATACTATTAATATTTACATAAATTAATTGATTTTATTGTTGCTAATTAGTGGAATTAAGTGATGTGAAGTCTTGTTGTTTTTTTACTTCCACAATAACATAGTAGTTTGAGAAAGTGATTGTCTAGTTTATAAAATGGAGAGAAGAACAAGATAGCTAAGTTTTCATCCATTCATCCATCCATCCTCGTTTCCGATATTCCTGCCCTGTTTTGACTTTGGCCGAGACAAAGCTCAAACTAGGGTTTCACATTTTACCTCCTCGAGAATTGGCATTCCTTACAATTCGATATTCCAGCTACAGAGTTCGAAATCCCAACTTCAGTCATGAGGTCTCCGTAGCATTCTCGGATCCTCGGCAGGAGCACTTCGCGGCAGAGCGATTCTCCTCTTCCCATTTTCAATGGATTGCAATCAGTTTTGAAATTTGTGTGAGAGTGTAATGAATTTGGTGTCTGGAAGGGAGGTAGGGGAGGTTTTCGCGCAGCTTTGTTTGAAGTAGTTTAAAGGAAGCTAGATTGGATTTGGAACTCGTAGAGATGGAGCACGTGGTAATCCTCCAGCTACTTCAGCTCGAGACGCCACTGAGCATATCATTTTTCAGGAATTTTTTGTCTCAAGGTTTGGTGTCAGTGTAAGTTCACGGCTGAGCTGCGTTTTTCTCGTTACTAGGAAATTTGGCTCTAGGTAATTCCTTTGTGGTACAGAAGCAGTTGAAGCGTGGCTATAGTGTAAAAGTTGTAGATTGGAGGGACCATAATAACGAGTTTTTGAAGCTGAGGAGTGGATTTCGATTCACGCACAGCAAGTCTGGCTCTGAGAGTATCATTTGGGCTTCAGATTGGGGGTTGTTGTTCCGGGATTGCTCGTGTTGTTAGAATGATACGAACTGCTCCTCCGATTCCGGCCCCAGTTCCGCTTCCTTCAGGTGGAGGGAATGCTCCGCAGGTATGTGGGAGATCGATGAAGGCATCGGTTGCTGTCCCACAGCGGAGTCTACGTCGAAAGCGAGTGCTAGAGCCATGTGAAGACGACCTAGGTCCATTTAATGTGAAATCTTCTGCTGCCAAGAAGCTCTTCTCTTCTCGTTCGAGTGTTGACACTTTGTCAAGTTCAACAATCAAGAAAGTTGTAGAAAATAAAGTGGAGGTTACCAGTATCTCTAAGAGACTGGTAAGTACATCACAATGTAGTGAGGATTTGGCCCAAGCTTATCCCAAGTTAGCATACTCAGAAGAAGTCGAGTCAAAGTTTGGAGGAGAGGGTTGGAAATGGTGTAGCCTTGGAGTGGGGCGAGCGGAGCTGTGTTTGGATTTCACTCTTCCCACAGGGCAGAGCTTCAGATGGAGAAGGACAGGTTTATCCCAGTACACGGGAGTGTTGGGCGCGCATCTCATCTCTCTCCGCCAAATAGCTGACGATGTTGAGTTCTTCCATCACGCATCGTCGTGCAAAGCGAATGCTTCAGGCAGTGACATCGAGAAGGACATTCGGGAATACTTAAACCTGGACACAAGTTTAGTAGTGCTGTACACAGAATTTTCTGTTGCGGATGCTCGGTTTGCAGCTGTGGCACCCTTTATTGCTGGAGCTCGCTTGCTACGGCAGTCACCTCTAGAATGCGTGTTCCAATTCATATGTTCCTCTAATAACCATATACAACGCATCACAACGATGGTCGATTATCTTTCGAGCCACGGCTCTTTCTTGGGATCGGTAAACGGGATTCGCTTTCATCAATTTCCATCTTTAGAAGAGCTGGCTCCCATCTCTGAATCACAACTTCGAGAAAACGGATTTGGATATCGGTAAGCTCACTGATCTTTTGTTGTTTATTTTATTTCATTTTATTACTTCTGTATTCTATCTCGGCTGTTGCCAGAGAAGACTTTCTTAAACAGGACTCGTACTTTATCACCTCTGAATATTCTGCTCTATTTTTCATTTACAGGGCAAAATACATTGTTGGAGCGGTTGAAATGCTGCGGCAGAAAGAAGGCGGAGAGCAATGGTTAATGTCGTTGCGGAGGCTGTCTCTTGAAGATGCTGTCACTTCCTTGTGTACATTACCTGGAATTGGCCCTAAAGTGGCAGCTTGCATTGCACTGTTTTCCCTAGATCAGCACCATGCCATTCCCGTCGATACTCACGTATGGCAGGTGTGTTCAAAGCGTAGAAGTGGAGTTGCCCCTTTGAACCTTGAGATGCAATTCTTCTTGTGCGTGTCTTTCGCCATTTCGTGTGGGTTGGATTAGGTGCTTTACATGGCTCCAGCACATATGAGGATTAATTTACTCACATCTCCCTCTGCACTTGCAGATTGCAGTGAAATATCTGTTGCCCGAGCTAGAAGGACGGAAACTCACTGTCAAGCTGCACCGTGAAGTTGCCGAAGCCTTTGTTCAGAGGTTCGGAAAGTATGCCGGCTGGGCGCATACAGTGCTCTTCATTGCTGAACTTTCTTCTCAACAGAACCTCCTTCCTGCTCATTTACGAGTTCAAAAAAAGCAGAATGCGAAGACGTCAAAATAGCACAGGAGCCGTAGGAATGGAACCACCACAACGCCAGCTCCTCCACTCTAGCTTTTGCTGGATCTTGTGTTGTTTCAATGTAAATACCTATGGGCAATTCAGCAAACAATCATTTGCTAGGAACATATGGACAATTCCACAGGAACGATTCACTAGAAGTCTTTCACATGTAGTTCACAAAACGTGAAACTGAATTGTAGTATTTTTCATCAAACCAGCCTGAAGATATTGCTAGTTAGATTGTTTCTCTATAGGCAATCTCCTTCGCATGTAATTCTTCAAGTAATAGCATGTGATATCAACGTGGTCCTCGATTATCGGCAGGGTAGCCCTTCGGAAGTAATGTCATAAGAATGAGAATTATCCGTGACACTGGTTCTTGACTTTGACAATATTGTTCTCGACTTCAAGGTTGAAAACATCATGGAAGAGTGTGTCCGGATTTGTTTGTGTGCAGAACAATGTGGTACACAAAGCACGCATTACACATCTCAGATCCATGTATAGCATTCAATCAACATACGGAACAGTGTTCCAACGCTAAGCACTCCTGAATATGCCATCCTAAGAGAGTAATTCTCACCCACAATAAATCTATCTTCGATACCTTTGATCTGTACCTCTTTGCTTTTGTGCGCTCTGAGCTCCAGCTGCATCGCTCGATTCGAAATGTACTCGTCTTCCCCAATTGTGTTTCCGGATTTCGTCTTAGTTTTATCATCAAAGTGTAGCAGTAACAAGGACATTACCGGCGAATTTTACCTGGTTGGTGAGTTCTGTGAGGATTTTGACAGGATGAGTAGGGTTCAGTGGGAAAATTGAAAGTACCCACTTTCAAACATTGCGAAGTAGAGTATTTTCATGTGAGCTCTTTGACAGCACTGGTTTTGCATTGTTAGGGGAGGGAAATCGTTGAATACCCGTAGAAGTAATCGCGCAACTCGACGGCGTGTAGGATTTGTGTGTTCTCTGAGCCGGTTTTTTACCTTGTTTCATCGGCGTCTGAGTGTCGTGTTCCGAATTCGGATTCCTTCAATTTCCGATTGTTGTTGGGTCGTTTGTAGTGGTTTTTCCTTCGAAGATTAACACGTTTCTATTGATTTTTTGCGCCATGATTGAAACCTTGTCCTGCTTGATGTTTTCTCCTGTGGCTTCCCTGTAGATGTGGTTGTTTGTGTTTCTCTCTCCCAAACAAGAAGAAAATTTGTTACACATTCTTCGACGGTTGAAGTTTTTCGCGTTTTGATGGACATGTGAGCTGTTGTTGTCTTCGAATATTTCGATTATTATTCCGCGCACTTTGCTGTTATTGTTCCTTCTGCGAATTCGTGTAACTGCATTTGCTACATTCAGTTTTAGTTCTGGTCTGTCGGACTCTGACGGTTTTATGGATGGTCAAGTGGAATGTCCATCTTATGTTAAGTGTTTGCTGTGAAGGGACTTTCTGAACATTTCGAATTTCTCGTGCTAGTTTATGACGTTAGCTTTGAATGGTCCGTTAGGACTCTAAATCATTGTAAGTACCTTGTTATTGAATCCTATAAATTTTCTTTCAATTGAATCATTTTTCAGTTCACCGTTGTACCCTTGCACATTGTTGCATTCAAGATCATTCAAATTGTGCTGCGAGTAGGGCTATGTTTTAGCAATTAATTGTTTCTGGATTGCAGTTTGAGAAAATTTCCTTTTAACGTACTGGAGGAAAGTGCTGCAGATGGATATTTCAAGAGCACCTGACGGGCGCAACAAACAGCCCTGGGTATCAGTGTTCAATCTTTGTAACGCAGTTGTTGGTGCTGGCGTGCTGTCATTCCCGTTTGCTTTCAGGTCAATCTTATTGCCGTATTGACTCTCTTCCTTTTGAAAGGTGATGAAAACTTGTAACACTGGACAGAAGCAACATTTGTAATCTCATTTTGCTTCAATTGTTGACAAAAGGGTTTAGTGTTTTAGAAGAATTGAATCAAATACAGAGTACAATTTGCTTCACTGTTGGGAATCGTTTTTGTTATTATTGTAACGAGCGTCCTACTTGAAACCTACTTCCAGCGCTTGTGCCTTCACTCCAGCTCTGTAATACTTGTATGAACTCCTCCTTTCCAATGTCAGGGAAGTTGGTATATATGGAGGAATTTTTTACACTGGGATAATTTGGCTGATCGAAGTAGGAGCATTATGCATCCTTATTCGGGTGGCGGAGGCCAACCAGAGCAGATCTTATCAGGTATGTGTTTTTCGCGTACAAGTTCGAGGCATATACAAGCTGGAGAATGCTCAGAGGCAATTTGGGGTGATTGTAAAACTCCATCCTGTGCTCCTGTGTCAGCATACGTAAAACATATTGTCATGTGCCTGATTTGGTTCATAGTAAGTAGTCACACCTTGGCCCAGCTGATGTAGAAGCCATTGACTGTGTATGCACAGGAACTAGTCACCTCAACTCTAGGACCCAGAATGGCCGCTTTGACATCTTTAACAATACTGCTGTTCGTTCTCAGTGCAATGATTTCTTTCCTGATTATCACAGGTATTAAATCCTCTTCTACCCTAAACCTCAAATCTAAAAAGCGTGGATCTCTTCCATTGCAACAAATTAACCATGAGATGGTCTATTCTACTGGGTTGCCAATCATAATGTTTGCGGCAGGTTTCTGCATTAGCTAGATATTTGCTTGATATGAAAATAACCACCATCCCATATCAGTAGAGTAATGAGACTTGAAAGATCTTAATCTACAAAAACATTTCAGTCTCCTGTAAGTTTATTGTAATCTTCTGGTTTTCATTGCAGGTGATGTATTTCAGCCTATCTTTGCTGATATTTTCGGGAACAACAGCGGACTGGCAGATCGCAGGTACCTGTGTTTGCAAAAGTTTAATGCCCACTGGTCACGGAGGACCTTTACTCTTTTATTGATCAGTGCGTGTGATTTGCTGATCATGAAGTTGCTAGTGATCCTTCATTCCTGTGTTCCGGCAGGTTGGTGATAGTAATCTTTGCTGCAATAGTTATCTTACCACTATCGCTTAAGCGAAGTTTGAGAGAGCTGAAGTGGACCAGTACTATTTCGGTGCGATTACGGGATTTCTCTTCACAATTTTTGATGTTGATTACTTTAAAGTTTGCATGACTAGGATCCCCTGCAGCAATTTGAAGGAGTTTTCCCTGCAGATGAATAGCACCTCATGTGAAATGTTTCATATTCCTTTAACTGAGCACAAGACACCAGTGGTCTAAATGCAGGTGATAATGCTCACATATTTGACTGTTGCCCTCAGCACGCTTGGAATCGCCCATCTGGTTGATGATGGGCTACCTCAAAATGTAAATAGATACTCAACCTATTCGTTTCAGCCATCCCATAGTTTGTCAAGACACATTGTTATTTTACCGTAATATGTGGAATGGCCGCAATTCTGCAAACCTGTCTCGTCATATTGTGAGAAGTTCTTCTAGTAGCGTCTATTATCGCCAAGAGTATATGCCATGTATTCAATTTGTATGATCATTAAATGAAGATCTTTTGTTCAAGTAATTCATATTTCTAATTTTGTCATCTGCCTGAACGCCGTTGTAACTCTTATGATGCCTCTTGGAAAATTGTTTTACAGATTAGACATTTCGCTGTCGGTCTTCCTGCTTTTATTGCCATTGACATTGTGGTTTTCGCTTTCCAATCGCACATTCAGGTTCATTCTTCGAATCACTTGATAATTCTGCTTATCGTTTCTGTGTTATTAGCATGCTGGTCGTGGTTCTTGTTATTAGCCATAGTATACACTGCACCAATACGGATTCTCTTTGTGCTGTGTAGTCAAGTGCGTTGGGTTGGGAACCAGAAATTAAAATGCAATCATGTTGGTTGCAAGAGCGAGTTTGTTGGTTAGTTCATTTTCAAATGATGTTTTTCTAGCTGCGCAATTCTGATTGATGATCACTCGAGTTGGTGTGCCAGGTTATTCCCATATTTGCTGAGCTCTCAGACCATCCTTACCCCTTCATACGGGAGGGGCGTAAACCGCTCGAAGAACGTTTGCTGCCTGTTCCAGAGGGACTTAACACTGGAAGACCGCTATCAAGAGTGAGATCAATAAGACTCAGGCGGATGGATGGAATCATTTTCATTTCCATGACCATTTGCTTCGTCGGCTACTGTTTGGCAAGTATCTTCGTCGTGCCGTCTCCCTTTTAAGTTTGATTGTATACTTTGTCAGTTGGCGTTGAACTTTGTCACAGTTTTCAATGTTATAGTCAACTTCAAACGTCACGAAAGAATGCTGTCTTTTCATTTGCACTATGTTTGGCTGAGTCAATTTTTCGCTCCCGATTCCGTCAAGCCTTTTCTGCATAGCCCTTGCCGTTTTGGTGAGCTTTGTCCCTATTGAATGGCATAGCTGAGCTTCTCTTCTCAGTAACGCTCATTTTTGTGTTGTATATGTACATAGGTGGGAGAATTTGGATACATACTATTTCCAGATGTTGAAAGTGACGTCTTGAAGAGCTTCGGGAGCGATAACAAGTACATGAACTTTGCACGCGTAGGCATGGCTTTGGTATATTCTGCTCCCCTCGCAGTCATTAATGTGTGTAACAGTTGAAATAAAATTGCAGAACTAAAATTTCAGTGTCTCAAGGCCCAAGTAGCACACACACAGCAAATTAAGTTTGCTTTTACTCTTATCTTCAAGGTGTTTCTTGGTTGTTCTGAAGTCTATATTCTGATTGACGAGTACAAAATCTTGAGTATTGATTGCTGAAGCTTTTATTTGATCCTTTCCTCTCCATTTCAGGTGGCAATAGCATGTTATCCACTGCAATGTTATCCTGCAAGATCAATAGTAGAGGATGCTATTAAGCATTTACTTCATCACCCAGCTTCACAGCACTTGCATGTTTTTGTGACCCTTCTGCTCTTCACGTCAACACTTGTGACAGCCCTCCTGATCACAGATCTTGGAACAGTAAGTCTTGTTATTTACTGCTTCTTCTTTTTGGCGTTTCTCTTCCAATATCGTCTTTATGGTTACAACTTCTGCACATGGTAACTCACGCGTAGGATTTTAATATCTTCATGGAACAGCTAGTCACTTTGTTGTGTTCTCAACTTTCGGAATATAATAATTTTCTATATTGAGTATGTGACATGAAGAGTTCAAGAGAAGTTATCTCGATAGTTTGGACTGCCAGTATGAACTCTCCATTTCATTTCGTTAAGTTAACGTCTACATTTCACTGGTAATTTCAACTACGCTTGCAGGTATTTTCAATCGTTGGAGCTACAGGAGGTGTTATGGTGATCTTCATTATTCCAGGGCTCCTGCTTGTCCAGCAAGGTCGTCAGCGGAGATCTCTGGATGAAGTGCTTTCTACGTTGAGAGATAAGCTCGAGGAATCACTGAAGTGGATTAAGTTGATTGCAGGGCCATTGTTTGTTGGCATGGGTGCTCTCATTTTCGTCGCCACTGCATACATCATATCCAAAGGATATCAGACAAGTCCACAAGTCCACATAATATGAGCATATCTTGTTCCGTCCCCCAAGTTGATTATGCTCCTACAAAATACTAATGCGGTCATCGCACAATTGGTTGTCATGAGGAAAATAAGGAAAGAATTTGTGAAAGCAATTTTACTTTGAACGGAGCAAAAGCATTTTAAAAAGCAGTGTTAGAGCGTCTAGGCTTGGGTTACATTATGCAGCATTTAGTTCATGTAATTCTAAGCTTGTTTTCAGTAAGCTTTTGCAGTTAAGGTTGTTGCACCTCATCCAATTGTACAGACTTCACATAAAACAAGTTCATAAGTGTTTGTTCTATCTCAAATTCCTTGTCGATACTGTCGACTGTTTCTCTAGATTTCTTCCATAATTATTTTGTGTATGTATTTTTAAAAATATATATATACAGAGCGAGAGAGACAGAGAGACTTCTGAGACAAATTCAAGAAAACGCAAAACATGTTCTTAAAACATCAAAACATGTGAACAAATTTATCCCTTAAACTGAAGATTATAATTTCTTACAAATAGATGAAGTATATTGCTTGTGCATTTTGTAAGAAAAATTTAATGAGAGCTCATTTGTGCAATGCCATTCTTAAATAAAATACATTCACATTGTATTTCAAAACATATGAAAGCTCTTTTGAACAAATAATTCCCAATTGACTGGTTCTTGCGACTACAACTGTACAACTGTAATAAGTGAATTCATGATTAGGATAAAATATTTGTCTATAGGTATTCATTTTGAATCAATGACAGTTTACACATTTGACCTTTTTTTATGATTTTAATTTTAATAACAACATCAAAAAAATTATAAATTTAATATAATTATTCCTAAGTCAACTTTCTCAAACAAAAAGTAGTATACTATTACCAAAGCAGCAATGTAAAACAACCTTTGCAATTGAGCATTTTCAACCTATTATGTGTATATTTGAATATTTATATGTATACATATATATAGGCATGCATTCGTAAAATATATACAATGACTTTAAAATGAAATTATGCTATAAAGAACTCTTTGTGCACTACAATTAAAGCTCAAAAATCCTATGCATGAGCTACCATGTGTATGTAAAACTCAATTTTTTTTGATTGCATACCAAAAAACACAATACATACATAGTATTAAGCATTATAATAGTATCAAAACAATATTTAGTATTGTTTTACACTTAATCTTTAAATCGTTCAACTTTTCAGAAGTTCATACTATTTAATTTGCAAATGTTTCTTTTTAATTTTCAGTTAATCATAAATAAGCAATAACTTATATTTTTAAACCAAATGTTCCAATTCAAAAAATTCAAAGTAGCTGTTGCATTTTTTAAAAATTATTTGAATTTTTTAAGATCATTTTTTATCTTAGAAATGCTTAATAGCTCCTAAAGCATTATTTTCTAAGAGATAGATTTTTAAATATTAAAAGTACATGTAAATATGATTTCAAGCAAAAAATAAAATGTGTTGTGTAATAACAACTCATTATTTTCCAAAATCTGAAAAAATCCATAGTTATAATTTACTTAACCTTTGTTCATATTTGATACTAAAATTAATTAGTAAAAAATAATTCTAATTTTTTTAAAAGATATTAAAATGTATTCAAAGTGGTTCATTTGCACAAAAACAGAATTTACTAAAATTTTATAATCAAGCATTATAAGCAAATGTTTGAATTCTAAATTAAAATTTCAGAGCTTTAACTGTAAAAAATACATAAATATATATTTCTCACTATTAAAAAACATTACAATTTATAAAATGAAAAAGGCTGGAAAAGAATTTTGAAATTTCACACCAAATTCATGGCAGTACTTACTCATACCATGGAACTCAAAATTTTGAAATTTTCATTTTGATTTCTTTTTCCTTTTTTGTATCAATCCATTAATACAAAAATCATGTATGTTTTTTGGTATAATTTTAGATATCATTCCAAATTTATATTTTTTTAGTTATTTAGTTATTTTTTGTATAAATTTGTAAAAAAAATTATAAAAACTAATATAGTGTGCAATAATTATTTGAGTTCAAAGTAAATATAGTGTTCAATAATTATTTTATGAAAATTCTCTGAAAAATAATATGGTATGTACTTTTGTATGATAAATTAAGTAATTAATGATAATTCTAACATACTATGTTGTAGTTTTATTTTTATATAAGTAAATTTAAATTATTAAAAATTTGATGGTAGATAATCACATTTGTATCTTTAAGTTACTTAATTTTTCTTTCATTTGAAGTATTTATATCTAATGAAAAATCTCTAAAGATCACACATTTTAATACTTAGTTTTGTTTTAAGAAAAGATGTATTTATAATCTTATTAAAAAAATATCTTACAAGTTTAAGTAGAACATGAAATTTAAGCTTAGGCTACAAGCACACTTCAAATTGCTATATGCACATCCAAGAAAATGAAGGCCTCTAATTGGTTGGTTCTTGTTATGTGAAGCTTGATACTTGCAACAACTACAGAAGGTCAAGGGAGGAGGGCTGCCCTCTTTATAGTGGTCATATTGGCCAATCAACAAGCAAGATCAAAAAACAACATATTTGCAAGAATTTCTTAGAGTGGAGTTCCTAAAAGAAAAATAAAAAATTTAAACTTTATATGGACTAGATGATTTTGTAATCTCAATGTTCTTCTCTAGAATCCTAAATTTGCAAATTTTGTGTCTCACTCTCTCTACATTTTTTTTAATTCTTCTCTATTCCAACTCTCTTCTTTGTTTTTTTTCTTTGTTTCCTTCTTCTTTCTCTTTTTTGCTTTCTTTCTTTGTTTTGCATAATAAGCCTTCTTCTACTAGACTCAAAAATAATATACAACTCATAAGAAGAGCTACTCAAAGACATCCAAATCCATTTATTCATACATGAAGTTGTTGTCCTTCTCTAATCTTCACAATTGCTGTAGGTGTCAAGCTCTACACAACAAAAACCAACCAATCAAAGGCCTTTATTTTCTTTGGATGCATGTATAGCAATTTAGAATATCTATGCAATAATTTGGAGAATGCTTATAATTTGAGCATTCAATCTATTATCCATCAAATATATATCACTATTAAATTTTTATATACAACACAATGATTGAAAATATCTTGAAAATGTATCAAATTGTGTCTACAATCAAGATTAATTTAATTACAACCATCTTATACTTATCATATAAAAATAAATAAATTATAATAGTTATTTAAAAAATTAAAAATATCATATAATTCTAAATAAGATACCAAAGTATCTATTAAGTTCATGATTAATTTTGAAATATAAAAATATTTGATATTTATTTATAATCAAAAAATAAATATATAATTTTATATATAAATCACATATATTTTTTTATTGTTAACAAATAATGCTTTTACACTATACTTTGAAAGGATTTATGATATAAAGATCTTTCTAAATATATAATATAAGTCTCATTTTTATTATTTTATCAAATTAAGTAAAATATTTATATCAAATTAAAAAAGTTAAATTAAATAAATTACATAAATTTTGAGATTTATTTATCAATCATTATCAACCTTCAAAACCTTATATCTATTGTGGCTTGGTTATATAATTTAATAAAAAAAATTAATGTAATTATAAATAATAATATTTTTTACTTAATATCAAATATTTGGATTTAAAAAGCTAATATTATTATTAAAAAGTATTTTTATATTAAATAATATGATAATAAATTAATGAGTATATATATATATATATATATATATATATATATACAAAAACTTATAAAGCCAAAATTCATATTAATATTTAAATAAAAATCTAAATAAATCAATATGTTTTTTAATTAAAAAACATTGATGCATAAAATAAATTATAATATTATTATTTTCTATTTTTTTTATAAAAATAAATTACTTATCTTGTCATTCAATCTATTTAATAATTAATTAAATAATTCAAATGAAACTACATTATTCAATATTAATGTCATAGACATATATATTTATGCCAATATTTACGTGGATAATATAAATAGTTAGAAGTAATTAAAAATAGATAAGTTTGATAATATCTTATAGAAAAGCTTTCTAAAAGCTTCATAGATGCAATTTCACCTTTATATGTGTCTAAAGATGATTGATGGGTTGAATATTTGGCTAACAAATTAGCCACGTATTGTACATTTTAGTAGCTTGAAATTCAACTTAACCATATGATACATGCATAAGAAACTTGTTTTGCAAGTTAAAATATGTGTCTTACAAATTAAGCATGTGTCAAAGATCCTATAGAATGTTGTCACATAGCTCTTAGTTAGATAGTATATATGGAGATAAGAGTGATTTTTTTTTTTTATTATTTTTGTCAACTCCTTTTTTTCTTCTACTCTAGTTTTAAGGATCTTTAGTTTTTTTATTTTTTGACAATAGCCATTCTAGTTTTTTTTTTTAATGTACATACTTTCTTATTTCTATTTTGTCATCTTTCTTTGAAAAAAGTCTTTCATTGAATTTTTGTCCTTGATTGATTAACGTGAATACTATGAAAATAAAATTCACCTCTTAATTCAAATTACAAGAAGGCCTCAATTAAGAATTGCTTGTAATTGGTGGTGTGAAGTGAGATAAACAAATAATAAGAACAAAGAAAAGAACAAATACAAAACAAGTGAAAGAAATGTGTTTAAGCAAATACACACTTCAAAACTTAGTCATAATTTTTTTACTAGATTTTTATTCAATAAAAATTAAAAAATTAAATTTTAAGATAATTAGTTTTATTATCTTTTCAATGACATAAGAAATTTTTAAATCCAATTTATTACAAATAAGTTATGAAGGTTTAATAATAAGAAGTAAATAATTATAAAATTAATTAAAAATATTTTACTTCAAGGTAACTTGCTTATAGATCAAGGATTTGAGCCTCACCAAGGTTAACATGTAGTGTATAAAAGTTTTTAAGAGATGCTACAAGGCCTTGGTTTTATCCTCCTAACTCTATTTAAGGTGCTACAACCCATATGGGACTTATGTACCTTTATTCTTATAAGAACTAGGCTAGCTACTGGTGTCATATTTTTTCCTAGTAAAACTAATATTTTTGTATTTTTTACTATACCAAGGTATTTAAAAACATACAATTAATCTGAAAATTATAAATGGCCTTTAAATCTTGCTCCATTTCTTCATAAAAGCTCCTAAAGTGGTAAAAATTTAATTTCATCAAAATCTTAAAAATAATTCTAAAATTTTTCAAATAATTCAAAATAAATTCTAAAAGTTCTTATAATATTTTTATAATACTACTATAAAATCAAAGCCTAATT